CAGTCCTTTAACTCGATACAAAAAGAGCAAAAAGCATTTCAAGGAAATATAAAGGAAATAGCTGAAACAATTACACAAAAGAAGTTTGACGAGAATTCTTTCATTATGTTGATGAAGATTCGAAGAAAGGAAATAAGTCATTTTGAGGAAGCTGTGAATGACATAAGATTCTTCGTTCAGATTTGTAAACACTTTAGTGGTAAGTAATTGTTTTCATAGATGTAAAGAAGTCTAGCTTATGACAATGTATGGTAAAAGGTGCATATATATGTACCTTAATGTATATGTTTTTGTACCTTTAATGCATGTTATGTTTTAGAGTCAATCCACATTTAATGAATTACAGTATATGAGATGTGCATATCTAAAATTCTTTCCCTTCTGATCATACTCCTGGGAACACACAGATACATGTAATTCTAAGACGAAAGTAGTTTTCTCATTATTAATGTCAAAATATTTTATTTTACGTCGAAACAAAATAAATTATTCAATGATACAACAAATACCAAATGCAGCAATTCATGTCGTCATCTAACTTTGATACAGATGTTATCTCGTACAATTTAGGTGTAATACTGTAGATCTTTCATCAGTAAAGAGACATCTTAAATTTAAAGCAATTCATTAATTCCATACATCATTTATGATAATGATTACAGTAACAATCAAATTTTCAAGTTGTTATCTCAGACTTGATGGGAAGGAAATTTTTTTTTCTGATATCTTTTGTTTTGCGTAGATCTCTACTATCCTGATCAATCAGGAATGTACCGAGAAGTGGTTCAATCAATTTTTCCAAATTTTATATTTCAATAAAAATTTTTGTTTACCGGGATACATGTACGAGGTTTGATCCAAAAGTAATGTCACAGTGTCCATATCTTTAACATTTGGCGTCATATTATCAAATATAATATACCAAAAGATGTACAAATATAAATCTAATTAAACTTTAATTTTTCATTCAATAATGTTTAACTAAATTTATTTTACAGATGTTTAAAACATATAACATAGGGGGTGTCGCCGCGTCAAAACCGAACGTCACAAGTTAAAGTGTACTTTTTAGTATAAAAAAGACAAACACATTAAAAAGCATCTTTTAAACGCGCCTAAACGCAAAATACTTTAAAAGACAAAAATTTACATCATTTTCTAGTCTTAAATTGAAAATTATGTGACATCACTGCTATTTTTTATGAAATACATCCTGATTTATTCTGTGCATTGAAAAAAGGAAATGTCAAAATGGACAGAAAAGCCAAAACAAACTGTAATGAATTTTTGCTTCAAAATGGAGAAATCGCCAGTAGAGACAGTTACGTTGATTCACCAGACTTTCGGAGGAAAGAATGTAAATTTTAAGAGACTTGTTTAGATGGTTTCAGCGATTTTGGGCGGGTGATGGGTCATTGAATGCTCAGCAGATGACAAGAAAACCGAAAGATGGGAGGGTGACGGAAATGTTCAATGGTGTGTGACGTTGTCAAAAAGACAGATGGATAGAGCGATATGTGAAATTTTAAGTTGGTCTTTTACTACTGTTCAATGAATTTTGACAAAATTAATTATGAAAAGAGTGAGTGTACGATGGGTACCAAGGGTAAGAAAGTGACATTTGTGAACGTGTTCGTGGATATCAAGTCTCAAATATTTTTTTAATGAAATGAAGGGAAGCGGTTTAATGTATGACGGCGCGTATCCGTCTTATGACGTTATTTAGGTGCGGCGACTACCATAATCGCACCTTGTATATAATCCGATAATTTGAAAAGAATAAATCATGTTGAATTGAAATTTTCAGTTCTGATTTGAAATAAATGTAGCTTGCATCATTTGTAATTTTTTTGTTTTACGTCGACCGGACCGGTAGCGATTTTATCGAAGTTGTGATATTACTTTTGGATCAACCCTCGTATTTATGTTATGTTTTCCCTCTTATTTTCCAAAGTAGATGTGAATAAGTACATAGTGTACATGATTATTTCTTATGAAATGTCCGAGCATTTTAAAATTATTATAGGTTTAATTTTTTTAGTTGGCATCATGGCTCGAATTTCATAATATTTATAATTCATGCATAATTCTAAACGCTTGAAAATTGCATGTAAACACATAAAAATGAAATGTGAGCACAGAAGTGAATAAGTAAAAAAAAATTTTACCTTTTAGTGGAAACAGATATATACAATACAGTACTGGAAAAATTCAGTCAACTGGACGAGTTTTCCATCGCAAATTTATGCCATCCTGTTGGATCGAAAACAGTGCACAACTTAGACTCATATGTACCTACCATTTGTGGTTTTGAAGTAGATGAAGAACTTATCACACATATTCAGGATCTAAAAAGGTAAAAAATGCAAATGTTCCTGATTTGTTATCCTAGCTGCCAAGTATAAAGATTTCATGGGAATTTAGGGTGTTTCGTAATCAATGTTACATTTTTTGGATTAAAATATTTTTTATTTTATTGTGTAAATACAAACTAAACGTGCCATATGTAATACTATACACTAATCCTGCAGCTCTATTCCTTGTACATGGCATTCAGGTAACCACTACATCAAAATTGTAATAAGAGATAAAAATACTGATTTGTAATTGGAATTTTTTTTCTAATTTGATAAGATAAATCAGCAAAAGACCAAAATGTAAACCTTTATTGCCAATTTAATTTTCAAAATATCTTTTTTTTTTAATATTATAATATTGGCTTCATTAGAAAAAGTTTTTGAAAGGACCTGGCCATAAGAAAATTTTATTTTTAATATATATTTCATTGAAAAACATATTTTTTATAAAAACTTAAATTGTTGTGAAGTCAATTTTAGCTCAATTTTCATGATTTTTTCTAATTGATACATCAATTATTCAAATTTTCTTATTAAATGATTAACAAAATGATCTATTGAATGTACATCTAACCTCAAATTACTATGATTTCTTAACAAATTAAGTCTTATATTTTTTGTTTGAACATCTTGTAAAATCTTGATAAAGAAAAAACACAAATTTCATTTTTTTTTTAGACATTAAAAAGAAACAACAAATGACACTGCAATAATATATTACTGTTTTTCAAAATATATATAGTGGAAAAATTAAATTATGACAATTTACTGTATCCATCTACTTGTTACAATGTTTCATATATATTTGTACAAATTAGAAACAAAAATTTCATTTTTTCTTGAAAGGATCTTGTTATACTCAAAATATCAATTTACCCTATAGTTACAAAACAGTACTTGTACATTAGAAACATACTTGCCTACTACCTTATTTTATCCAATTATTACATGTACTAAATTAAATAAGCTGAGATAAAAATACAGGTAAGTACATGTAGCTGAAAACTCTGTTATACCCCGGTCTATTGTACTCAAGATCAATATGATTCCTATTTTTTATACTATGGATAAAATTTCCATGTGGTGTTACCTGTGAAAATTCAAGTGAATAAAAAATAACTTAATTTAGGACTCAGACATCATTTGATTTATAAAGCACTGCTCTGGTGTACTGCTCCCTTCCAAACTGGATTCTTTACTCCCTTTTCAACTAGGAATGTTTTGATATGGATGATGTTATATACAAACAAAACTGTATTGAAAAAAAAGGTTTTCATATATCATTCCCAGTTTAATTTTTTTTATTTAGAAACAGTAGTGAAAAACTTTTCATAAAGTTATGGACAAAAAGAGGTGGAAAATGTGTTGAGGATAAGAAGGGTATTCCTCTGACAATAGAAGAAGTGATATCAAAGGTCTGGAAACCAGTATATGAAGATTTGACCACTGCCAAAAGAATACAAAATGGTTCCATGTTCTTCAGAGAGTTTCAAACCTATTACATGAAGACAGGGGACAATTTGATAAATGATCTAAAAAGTTTATCAGCTGATGGTAGTGTAGATTGGATAAATGAAAAAATGGATCAATTTCTGATGTACAGCACAGTACAGCAATGTGTGGAGGGAGCCACCACCATTAAGAATGTCATAGACACTTATGATCTTGAGGGACAATTTGAACATCTCAACATAATATTAGAACTGGTAAATAAAATTAAAACATTCTTATTTCTTTTTTTTGAAATCCCGAAAAACAAACTTCAATTAAACAAACTCCAATTAACCTCTGAAATCTATTGGAAAGTTTCAAGTACAAGTAACTTAGATTTTTCATAAAACTAATTTATTAATTAAACATTGTATTATTTAACTTTTCTATGATGTTTTGTAGTCATACCCCAAGTATGCAAGACAATGCTTTAAGCTCATATTGTCAGAGACCAGCAGAGCTTATGCCATAGTAATCTGTGCGTCTTCCGACCATCTGTCTGTTTTTCTGTCAGTTCCTCTGTCTGTAAACATTTTTAAATGTTACCCTGTCTTCACTTTTAGTCTGATTTCCATACAGCTTGGCACAAATGTAGACTCCTTTATATTTCTGTTTAAATTTGTACGACATTGTACAAATTGAATTTCTAACTTTTCCTATGTCTGAATAAATTCCTACATTTTGTTTATTGGTAAGTAAAAAATCAGGTCCATATAATAAAATCTTGAAAATTTACAACGATTTTTAGTATGAGGTTATGGGCTTCACGGAGCAATCACATGACGTAAGGCGACGTAACAACCAGATTTCAACCCGTTAAGCTTTGTCGCAGTTCTATAAATCTTTAGATTTTTCTTATCTTTTTTTCTACTTTAAAATTGAATATCTATATCAAGACATGTTACTTTTCTTCTATAATGTCTTTTGTACTGATTCGGATATTATTGAGATCTTTAAAAAAGTTTATGCCGTTAATCAGTTAATCGATCAGGTATGTAAACTATGCAAAACCATATAAGCGCAACGCAACGTCCATGCAATACGGGGGTACTGAAGTATCGCTGGAGTTAATCTTTCAAAATGTCATTCCTACCATTCTTATGAAGCTACAACCATTTGAAAACTTGTCCTTTTTAGGTGTAGGAAATTCCCGGCAGCATCTTGAACATTTTAATCTCTTTTTAGACCTTTTCCAGTCTGCATACATAATTTTTACGTAGTGCAGTGCTCCATGACGCTCAATGACGTTCCGATTTTTGGGTGTGTTTTTACGCAATGATCATTTACAAACGACTATAAAACAGTCATATACCCTCCAATTTAGTTCAAAATTTCTCCCAATGACGTTTCATGAATACTTTAGCGGCAGGTAAAATATCATAAATCTTTTTGCGCTACAATTGTGCAATTTTAAATTTTAATAAAGAGTCTTTGTGATGTAAACTTGCCAAAATGTAGCATGCTCCGTGAAGCAAGTTTTATCAAAATAAAAAAGCTGTATATTTTTTAATAATCACCGGAGAGCAACAATTTCTTGTATATTTATTTGAAAAAAGGTAAAGATTCTATCTGGAAAGTTTGACCGGTTTCGTGGAAATAGCGCGCTCACAATTGAACTTGTCCGCGAACTTTTCTAACACTCCTCGTATGAACGGTGTTGCCTAGGTTAAAATAGATAAATTGCTGCAAAATATTTTCAAAACACTACTTTTCCTACAGTTGTATTCTAATTTAAATAAACTTGGCACAAAAGTATTACCCCCGGTTTTGTTCTGTTTTAAATTCAATTTTGGTCAAATGTAGACTACTCTAAAATACAGAATGGTTTCTGTTTGTTCTGTATTTGATTTCGATGACCGGCGTTTCCATGGTACTTGTACATGTACCTAAATATAAAAATTCCTTTAATATTTCTTCAGAAACCTTCTTTTTCTACAGTTTTGGTCTGATTGCAATCTTGCTACAAAAACAGACTTCATCAAGGAGAAATATATATCTTTTGTTGCAAAGTTTCATGTCCATCTATTACTCTTCCTTTGCTGTAATACAAACCAGATGTAAAGCTATATACTCTACAGATACTTCTGGTTTATTCTGAATATGCTCTACTTAAAGCTGCTTCTGTATTGTTTTGCACAAAAAATCAGGTTCTGCTGTTCTTGACAAAATAAGTTTTAAATTTTTTTTACTATGCTTATATATCCTCAAAATTTTTATCCTCTCTTGTGGACCACCCTCTCCTTGTAGATCATGATTCGACATTTGAATCTGTGTTAGAAATCTTTTATCACAATTCATGTCTTGGATCGATATATTTAGAACCTATTAATCTCACTGAAATGTTGCTACATTCAATTAATATATGAAATTGAAGAAATGATATGTAACAATTATGGGGTACCGACTCTCTGATAAGAAAACTTTCAAACTTCAACAGAGGAATACAACTCACAGTTTACTTTATCAGAGTTTCCTAATTGAAACCTCTGTGTTGTCAATTCGATGAACTCTCAAAATGAAATTGAAACATTACCTTCTATTTCTTTTGCGATTTGTTTTACCAAATCGTTCTATTATATTACTTGTAAACAATAAAATTTTTAAATCCAACTTCAAAAGCACTATAAATTGAATAAGCTGTCTGATTAAGGACCATTTACGTATACAATACAGATTTTATTAGCATTACATTTTTTCACATGGAAAGATATTCAGAGGAATTACAAATATATCTTTTTCTCTTACAACCACATACAGCTTTGTGATTGTATATGATTTTAATAGGTATGATACTAAGTGTTATTTTCGTGCACACCTCATACTTTAAATTTAGTATTGTGATATTTCATCTTTACTCTTTTTGTTCTCTACGTTGAAATTTCTTCATGGCATGATCTGACACAGATATCATTTCTTTTAAAATAATCAGCGCCACATTCACATAGAGCAGACGCTTCTACCAATGCGTCACGCTGGCGACTTAAGTATAGCATCCTTTTTTATCGAATCAACAGAGAGATATAAACCCCGTTTGCAGGTTATGAAAGTATATAAGTGCATAAGTGAGGACAGTTGACGATTAAGAAGTTTAAGTCATCTCTTTTATCATAACGTTTGACTATAAGAATACATTTAACGACTTTTTAAAGATGTGTCAGACTCTGTGGTATCTTTTATTTCAAGCTCACAGGGATATATCGTTTCGAAATGCACTGCTAAAGTTTGATTTTTGTAACAATTCATAATTCTCTAATAAATTCTGACTTAGCTTGAATGTTTGGTTACCTTTTTAATTATAAGACGCTTTTTACTAGGCAAATGGAAAGGATATTGCAATGTACAAACTGGACAAAGATTTGAGAAGGACAATGATGAGCTTGAAGGGAATGACAGGGGAACAAAAGCGTTGTCTAGAGGCATTTATTGATTGTAAACCTCTTGTGGAATGGATTAGAAGAACCATGAGAAGTATGTTATTAAGAACCTAATTTCAGTATTAGGATTCCAGATATTTTCATAATTAAAGAAATCTTAGTATGAAACAGATGTGCCGGACTCTGTGGTATCTTTTATTTCAAGCTCTCCAGGATAAATCGTATCGATGTAGGAATGGAAATGACCATTGTTAATTTACAATACGTCGTCGATATATCTGAATGTCGAGTTAAAGGCCACAGCAAGTGTTTTCTTTTTTTCACTCATAAGATTTTGCACAAATTCTGCTTCATATAAATACAAAACTAGATCTGCTAATAACGGAGCGCATATGGTACCTTTGGAAATTCCAATATTGTTGGAAGACCTGGTCTTCAAAAACCACATAGATATTGTATTTAGTATAACCATCAAATGACTTAAAAAATTATACAAACGTCGTGATCAATTACCTGGTTACTCTCACCAGACACATAATTTCTGACAATAACTTATTTAGTATAGGTATTCAAAAGATAAGCGTAAAAATATATATCACCCTATTTCAACCAAAAGTCGTAAAAATTTACAGCTGTAAAATAACCTTTTTACGGTAGATCTGCTTATAACAGGGGGAAATTGGTGCTATTGAGAATTCCAGTATACTGGTTGAATACCTGGTCCCCAAAAACAACATACTAGTATATAGAATAATAAGAAACTTAAGCTTTTTCTTAATATCAAATTCAGAGTTCTTGTGAAGAATCAGAATGTTTTTTTGACCAGTGACAAGTAATTTTTAATTTTGGTAAAATACAGTGATTTTAAATGTTACAAACAAATGATGTTTTATATCATTATCATGATTTACCATGTAAATTTTTTTCTTTTTTAAGATCGGAAGGAATTATTAGTGTTTATTGACCTTGCCAGTATAACTGTTGAAGACAGCGACATGGAATTCCATCTTGTTCAGTTTTTTCAACCTGCAACACTTGGATATGGTCCATTGATTTTCAACATAAATGAAATACACGACTTGAAGTATTTACTAGAAACATGTGAGCTTGTTTGGAAAGAGATCAATTCAGATCCAAGCCTACACGAAAAATTGGCAAGTAGAAAAATCTCTGCATATGAACAAATTCTTTATATTTTTTCCATTTCTTTAAGCTCACTTGAGCTTCTTTCTGATCACGTTTGGGTTGGTGTTCATTTGTATATCTTTTTGTCTCCTTTTCACATTTTTTACTTCTCAAGAAATACGTGCCACAATGCATCCATGGATGAAAGGAATTCAAATGTGTTCATTCAAGGCGGGATAAATAATAACAATTTGAGATAATCTCTTGAAAATCTTCTTCCCCTAAGCTCTAGGCTTTGAAACGTATAGAAATTCTAGAAAAAGTATAAACCCAAGGGAAGTGTTGATAGGAAAATCTTTGAAAATCTTTTCTAAAGAAGAATTACAAATCAATTATTAAAATAATTGAAAATGAAAGCATTTTTAGATATAGGATCATTTCTTTTACACAGGGAAACTTTCACTTTTCTTCTCAAGATCAAACAACGCCATGATAAGTCAAATTGATATGGAAGCATCATCAGGTGGTGTAGATTTAAGTGTGTTGAAATCATACCCTCCCCCCTCCCCCCTACCCACCCACCCCCTCGGAAAGGTGACAGACATCTTAAAATATATATACCTGTTTGTTTTCAACAACAGTAAAATCAGTCTCAAGAAGTATTTTAACTGTTTTTTAAAAAGAAAATATATTCCTGTCTTTCTTGCCCATACATGTACCTATGTATACTAAGAAATAAACCCTAAGATTAAAGAATTCCAAATTAAAATATACCCATCTTATGTGATCAATTATGATGATGCATTTTAAATAAGAACAATATGTTCTTACAATGAAAAAAAACTTTTCATCAGTAACTATTCATTTTATACTGATTTGATTCAAATTTTCTACTTGGTTCTACCATTTCGAAAACATACATGTATATCTTGCTATTGTATTTGAAAGCACCAATGACCACGAACTAACTTTCCTTTGTTAACTTGGCAATTGCTGCTGTTAATAAATTGGTGACAATGCGTGCCAAATTAAAATTTTGAGTGGGTACAGAGAATGGCTCTTAATAGTGCAGAGTTTTCGCTTTTGTCTCAATATAATAATATTGATCACAAAGGTAAATATTTACAGAAAATGACAACAAGGAAATTGGAATGGTATAAAAGCTTGGAATGCTTCCCAGGTTCTGTACCGTTGACATCTGTAAAACAAGCTGATGCCATCAACTCTGGAGGAATATACATGCTTGGAAAAATTGATCCCAATACGCCAAATGAGAAATTAGTAAGTACGCACGTACATTTTTTAAAGCTAAAGTCAGACGACACGTTCCTTAAAAATATATAATTTTCTCCAAGGATTTGACAAAAGATTAGAGTACCAAACCAGGCATTTAGGACAAGATACCATAGGGTCATATATTTTACATAACCCTTATGGGAATTTTTGAATGGCCTATTAAACACTATTTGGTGCACTTATATTTAACACATTTTTAATACAATGTAGAAATCAGAAGAGAATGTCAAATAATTCAATAATTGTTTATATAATAATAAGAGATACAAAACATATTTTTGAGAAATGTATCGTATAACCTTAATACATGTACTCTCTCTAAACTATCTTAAGACAAATTTGTAGAATTTTGAGAGGCAAAAAAACATTAAAATGTCATTTTGGTCAAACCCTTTAGTACATGTAGCTACATGGTTTAAACAAGTTGACTATGTTAAATTGTTTTGATCTCACCAGATATATTTAAAAATGAAAATGGTACCTCATTTTCTAAAAAGATATCTGCTGTATTTTTAGAGTCTTGAGGATGTACTTCAACTGTATGTTCAGATAGACAGCCAAGGTCGTAGATCAAAAATGAGGTTCACGTACAACACACTCCAAGAACTTCAGCACAAAATAATGATGGTAGACAGCAAGGACAATAGCAACAGAGTAGATGCTGAAAAATTTATCGAGGTAAAAATATCATATAATATTATGATTTAATATCTTAATTGTGATGTATCTGTATTAAAATGACTGCTCATGTTTTTGTTATTCTTGAGAAAATGAATTTTAAATAAGTGATCTTTCCTATATATTCCTACCTTAAACGTTTTTCACTTGCGTCCGCAGTCCCTACCCCAGGGGTCATGATTTTCAAATGTGAAGGTTTGAAGAATGTTTCCATAAGACAAATCATGTCCTCACTTTTCTCAAGGAAAATATTCTAAAAGATGTTTCTGTACCTGTCAGATTCATATATAAATCGTCCACTGTGGCCCCATCTTACTCATAGGGGTCATGATTTGATCAAGCTCGAATTTTTACTACCTGAGATTGCTTCCATGTAAATGTTACCAATCAAGGCTTTCCTATTCTTGAGAAATTTTTTTCTCATAGGAAAATTAGCTTTTCTGATCACACTTTGTCCGTCTGTCCGTCCGTCCGTCTGTAAACTTTTAACATTTTCGACTTCTTCTCAAGAACCAATGGGCCAATTTTAACCAAACTTGGTACAAAGCATCCTTGGCTGATGGGGAGTTTAAATTGTTATGACAGTCCCCTTACAAAGGGAGATTTTGGGGTCACTAAAAAATCTTCTTCTCAAGAACCACAGGGCCAAGAAAGCTGAAACTTATGTGGAAGCATCCTTGGGTAGTGTAGATATTAAATTGTGAAAATCATGACCCCCGGGGTTAGGGCGGGGCCACAATAGGGAATCCAAGTTTTACATAGAAATATAGAACAAATCTTTCAAAAACTTCTTCTCAAGAACCAATTGGCCAGGAAAGCTGAAACTTATGTGGAAGCATCCTTGGGAATTGTAGATATTAAATTGTTAAAATCATGACCCCTGGGGGTAGGGCGGGGCCACAATAGGAAATCCAAGTTTTACATAGAAATATATAGAACAAATGTTTAAAAATCTTCTTCTCAATAACCACTGGGACAGGAAAGCTGAAACTTATGTGGAAGCATCCTTGGGTAGTGTAGATATTAAATTGTCAAAATTCCAGGGTGGGCCCACAATAGGGAATCCAAGTTTTACATAGAAATATATAGAACAAATCTTTCAAAATCTTCTACTCAAGAACTAATTAGCCAGGAAAGCTGAAACTTATGTGGAAGCATCCTTGGGAAGTGTAGATATTAAATTGTTAAAATCATGACCCCTGGGGGTAGGGCAGGGCCACAATAGGGAATCCAAGTTTAACATAGAAATATATAGAACAAATCTTTAAAAATCTTCTTCACAAGAACCACTGGGCCAGTAAAGCTGAAACTTATGGGAAGCATCATCTAGATATTAAATTGTCATAGTGACCCCCGGTCAATCCAAGTTTTACATAGAAATATATAGAACAAATCTTTTAAAATCTTCTTCACAAGAACCACTGGGCCAGTAAAGCTGAAACTTATGTGGAAGCATCCTTGGGTAGTGTAGATATTAAATTGTTAAAATAGTGACCCCGGGGATAGGATGGGGCTACAATAGGGAATCCAAGTTTTACATAGAAATATATAGAACAAATCTTTAAAAAATCTTCTTCTCAAGAACCACTGGGCCAGGAAAGCTGAAACTTATGTGGAAGCATCCTTGGGAAGTGTAGATTCTAAAATTTTAAAATAAAAAAGGGAAGGGGGTTGTTGGGCATGATAGGTATAGCAAGAGGGGAAATCTTTCTGCATCACCCAAGTTTTGAGCCCCATATATATTCAAATTTAGATATTTTATCGTCATTTATTGACCCACCTTACCCTCGGGATAATGATTTAAACAAATTTAAAACTGCACTACCTGAAGATTTTCTCAAGTAAGTTTTATCTTTCTTGAACCAGGGGTTCTATGGGAGACGTTTATTAATGCATATACCCATGTTAAATTTGACAAACCATTAATACCCTGCTCTACACCCTTTTCATAATTTGAACAAACTTAAATCTACACGATTATATCACGATCCATAGCAATATATTGTATAGTACAACCTGGAAAATTGTACAAAAATTGAAATTTGCAAATTAATAGTGGATTAGTTGCAATAAACACGTATTTTACAGCTGGATTGATTGATTTTTTTTGGCATGTGCCATCGTTTTTTGCCAAGTGGTTCTGGAGAAGCTTTTTAAAAAAAATGCTATAATTCTTTTTACAATTTTATAATCATATCCTTTTAGAAGAAGGCGTGGTTCTTTACTGGAAAAACTTTAAGCATCTTTATCTACGATTTCTAAATGGCAGAATTTGTTTGAAATTGGCTCAGTGATTTTTGAGAAATCGAAAATTTAAAATCTTTACTCACGACGGTCGACTACAGACAAAAACAGATAGCAATAGGTCACCTGAATCAGGTGACCTAAAAATAGATGGTTAGAAAGATGTCGGTTATAAATTGAATTAAGTTTGCTCACCAGAGACAAAGCCTTATGTGCACGTGCTGTTTGAATTGCGTGCCTTCTCAGTCATCCTTTGTGGTGCCATCGCAATTTTTTCACATTCCGTCTTTTCCAAAACAGCGTAGTCTATTTCAACTAATCTTGACACAATGCAGAATTAGTTAAAGCATTCAAGTTCCTTAAAAAGAAGGATCATGCTTTCATCCGTACAAGGCTGATAAAAAAAAATGATAAAGGGTTATATGCACGTAATGCTCTTTTTTAAGCATGGTACTAATGATCAAGGAAAAAACCTTACTAAAATGAATCTTTCTTTTTTAAATTTAAATAGTAAATGCAAATTTTTTATATATAATTTTACAGACCGAATTAATTAATTAAATAGGCCCAGCTTTGTTTTCTAAGGTAAAGAACAAGGTTCACTTTCGTCTTTTTTTGCCCTGTAAATATTTGGAAAACTGAAACTGCATAGTTTAAGATACATGTAACAATGCATTGAATATCACTTAGATCTCTGGTGACTACGTATCTGTCAAACATGACGTAATTTTCTAGCTAGTCAATGTATTATGACGTCACGAAATGCGTCAATTACCTCATATTCTGAAAAAATCTACAAAAACGTCAAATTTTTAAAGCTATTTCCGATTTTTAATGTAGAGCGCAACCTCTGATCTAAATTATGTAACTAGTAAATGATAGAACTATTTCTTAGAATTAAATACATGTTTTATTTTTTAGATCAGAGAGTGCGCTTATATTATTTTTCTTCATTGAATGCGCTCAAACATACATGTTTACCTAAAAGTTCAAGAACATTACAATTTCATAAACCAGTTCTCCAAGATCTGGACTTTTAGGATAAAAATTTTAATAGGATATGAAAGCAATAAGTCTATTTTATTTTAATGCTTCAAATGAAAACTAAAGTGCTGACCAATCAATTGGTATATCTTCAGGGCCATTTTATGCATAAAGTAAACCGACCTCTTTCAGGGATTAAAACATCCCCCTGACCTCTTTTTAAAAACTATAATCTTTTTTAAAAAAATCTTCATTTTAGATTACATCTATTAAAAACACTTTTTCCACACATGAGTGAACAAAGCAGTCCCTGGAAGCAGTCCGAGGGACTGCTGGGTTGGCTTTCATGAACAGTCCCAGAGCAGTCCTACAGCGGTCAAAAAGCGGACTGCTCTCTGGGACTGTTTGGGTGTCAGCTTTGGCCTCATTGGTATTGTATAATACTCATAATGTGCACACAGATATTGTTGAACTTGTTTTGACCCTTATCCTGCCAATCGCGACCTAGAGTCGTGATGGCTTATCAGTACCGCTGCTGCCAATCGCGACCTCAGGTCGTTTTGGGGGGTTTCCTCATATGATGCTACATTCCAAGCTATTTTCAGCATTGTAGTAAGATGTATGAATCAAAGTAACAAAGATACAGACCAATGAAAATAGTTTTATAAAAATACTGAACCAATCAGTGATGGTAGGTATGAAATCTGGGGCAAAATGAGGTGCGTATCAAAACAAAGAGAGTTTCTAAGATGGCTAACAGAAATTTAATTTAGATGAAGTATTTGTCAGAATTTTATATGACAGTTTCAGATGAAGAATATATTAATGAGGAGAATATTGATGCTGAGGTTTAACATACACACTGAGTAAATATTAATTACAGCTTTATTTATAAATAAACACATCTTTTTTTAGTTGTCTTTATAGTATGCATGTATTCTTATAAATATAAAAAATATATTTATAAAAATTATATCGAAAGATAGGGATATTTATGCTGTACAAGTTTTCTGCGAATTGCATTAGTGTAATTAGAAAAATAAAGATAATACAGGCAGATAATTAAGTTTTCTGCATTCCCTTTGACTGGTTTGTTTACACTGAACTTTCGCGGCAGCAGCTGTGCTGATAAGCCAAAACTATCTCGGCAGGATAAGGGTTGAAATCGTTTTGTTTATATTATCACATTTACTCCAACTTATGTGGAACAGTACCTTAAACGAGATATTGCCAGGGATTCTGATTTTGCTTGATCATAGTTTTTAAGGGATTCCCTTTTTTTGAAAAATAATGTGCTACCTTGTTTAGTGATTTTTTTTATAATTCAATTTTAGATATTTAATGCAGTTGTAAGACTTTGCAATGTGTACATCAAACTTGTGTCCTCTGGTTGTGTGCTGTTCTCAAACTGGCAGGCCAGATTTCTTTGTGATCCCGAGAGAAAGGTGTGTGCATTTTTAAAATTTGAAAATGGGGAAGGTTGCATCCAATTAAAAGGAAGAAAAACTAAGGAAGAGGATATCAAGACTACAATTCCTAGAATTACCAAATTCATGGAAAAATGCCTTGAAAATTGGTTGAATTATATTGAGCAGAAAAGGGATGAGTACCACCACCTAAATTTCTTCACAATTGATCAGATAGTGATTTTGCAAAGAGAATTAGTTTTAATGGGAGGTGAGGTAGAACCAAATGATTTTATTTACCCAATCTTATCAATTGTCAAACATGACTGTGCAAAGATGGATGTAATTGATGCACTGATGAAGGCCAACATTGAAGTGTCGAAAAAGGAAGATGAAGTCAAGAGTGCGGTGATGGAAAACTCTGCTGTTGCAGAATTTGTTTCAGAAATGATGAAATCCGGTTTCTCTGAGACATCAGCAAAAAAGGCTTTAAGAGCAGGAATTGATCCGACTGAAATTGATGAAGGTACTCTTTATTAATTTTTTGAAAATGATATCTCATATTATTTGCTTTTTAAGTTATTCCAAATTTTTGGCTCATCTGAGCTGTAAGCTTAAGTGGCTTTTTCTTATTATTTGTTTTTTTCTCCATTATCTTTCAGCTCATGTCCTTAAAACTGTCTTTCAAATTAACACATTGTTGTCTTCTTTTCTATATTTTTTTTTGACCTATTTTAACAGAAATTTCCATTCATCCAATCATGCCTGAAAGTATCTCCGTATAAAAGCATTCGCATTTATTATCATCTTTCATGGGGAGATAACTAAGTCACAGATAAACTGGTACAAAATGAAAGCACACATTAATCCATTATATTCCCTTTTATTTAAAATTTTGGATCAAACTAATTAGAATGGGACTTTTCTTTTATATCTTATTAATTGAGATGAATTATATTTCATATTTGATAGATTAAATTCTAAAAATGGACATGTTTGCTATCAAATTGTTTCGGCAGCTAGTTATAAAAAAAAATCTTAAGATACAACACATGTATTCAATTGTAGGTATAGTGTGGTGCATGGAATTTGAGGACCATCCAGATTTGCAGGCACAGGTAGTCAAGGATTATAAAGGCTGGACAGAAACGGACAAGACTATTTCCTCTATGATCCAAAATGTCTTATCTAGACTTCAGTGTGAAAAAGGGTAAGTAAAAGAAATATACCAAATACTTTAAAAGGACTGGATCAGTTAATTCTTAAAAAAACTGTGAAGCGGTTTCTTACAAAACGTAAACCGCTCCAATCTAGGTTATACCAGATTAACTTAGGTTGCCATTTAATTCATTCTTTATAATTTGATTTTCAATTATTAAATATGAAAAACAAGACAAATTATCCCTTAAAAACGCATTCAGATTGTTCAGATTTTCAACGTATCGTCAAGCGGATTACCGGTAATATGTTCTTAACGTTAGTCAATGTAACGTAGACAACCCAGATTAAAGAAATATAGATTTTGATTTTTTATCGAATCAAAGGACGCTTTAAAACAAAAATTGAATTTAAGAAAACATTTCAAATAGCGACGAATTTTTCTTCAAATAATCTTAGGATAAAATAATCTAACAACCATAAACTTTGTGCTCATTCTTTTTCAATAACGTTTATACTGAAGATAATTTATATATACATATATGTAAAATGAATAAAATTATAGTTAGGCTGTTGAGCAAAATTGGACAAAGAGACATTTCAGCTTGACAAATTTATAAATTGAGAAAATGCTCAAGTGAGCTTTTTTGATCGAAATTTGTCCTTTGTCAGTCGATGTCGTCGTTGTCGTCCGTGTTGTCGTTGGCGTCGTTGTTGTTTTAAACTTTCACATTTTCCTCTTCTTCTCAAGAACCACAGGGCGAATTTCAACCAAGTTTCCATTGGTGAAGGGGATTCAAGTTTGTTCAAATAAAGGGCCATGTTCTCTTCCAAGGGGAGATAATTATGTTGTAGTGAAAAGTTGATGGCATTTTTATAAAATCTTCTCCAAAAGAACCACTGGGCCAGGAAGGATGCAACTCACGTGGAAGCATCCTCAGGTAGTGTAGATTTAAATGTTCAAGTCATGACCCATAGGTATAAGATGGGGCCACAATAGACGATCAAAGTTTTACATAAGAATGTATAGGGAAATCTTTTTAGAAAATTCTCAAGAACAGCAAAGCCACAATTCGTCATATTTATATGGAAGGACCCACAAGCTTCCTTAAAAGCTTCCTTATAAATATGACCAATCATGGCTTTGTTGATCTTAAGAAGAAGATATTGACAAAATATATTCACTTCAAGATCCATAGCAATATATTGTACAACCTGGTAAAATGTACAAAAAATTGAAATTAATAGTGCATTCGTTGTATTAGACACTTATTTTACAGCTGGATTGATTAAGTGATAATCATTTTACTCCGAGTCGAAAACATATTTCAGCTATTATTCAGCATTATACCATACATTAATTGTTATATATTTTAAGTTTGATTGCGGGGGGGGGGGGGGGGGGGGGGGGGGGCGTTGTGTTACATGACACATCTAGTTTAAAACGTTAGAATTTAATTATGGTTGTAACGCTGTATTTGATTGGATAAAAGATTTACTTTATATTGTATGAAATGGCTTGCCTACGTCACAATGACTTTCGTCAAAAACGTATCAATCCGCCTGACGTTACATTCAAATTTTGTACAAATTGAGGCCATTTTATAAGAACAATCATAATTTTTTCCTACATCAAATGAATGAAAATTAAATTATAAGCAATATATTTAATAGCTACCCATTTTATACGGTATAAAATGGGTTGGAACAGTTTACACTTTTTTATGAACTGCTTCGCAGTTTATAAAGCGTAAACTGCCCAAACCCAGTTTAAACCGTATAAAAAGGGTAGCTATTAAATCCATTCCTTAATTATAATTGATTTAAGTTTTATTTCATAACTTTAATAATGATCAATTAATATTTTACATTTCTTAATTTTTTAAGCATTGGCTTATGCTTAAAATTCTGCGGTATTGTCAAGTAATTATATCCTTACTTAAAAGTCTTTAAAAGTTCTTTTCAACTTCTTTAAAGTATTTTTGACATTTCGACTGAATCATTTCCAATTAAAAGTGTAATGTTTATATGTTTATTTTTACAAGTACTTTTGAAAAACTTGTATGGATTTTGAATTGTTTGAACAACGTTGAGAAGGACACAGGTAAATAGAGAATTTAGAAACATTTTTTTTTGTCTTGTAGCACAACAGCAGACACCCTGATTCCAGACCTAGAACAGTTGTGGGAGGAATTCCTGTCCTCTATTTCCTCCAGTGTGTCAGACTATCTCAGTGTGGAACATCTGGGGATCATTCTCAGCAGACTCGCAGAAACTGGTCTGTATCATACTCCATGTAAAATTATGCATAAATTTACGTCAGCAGATTTCGTGTACCAAACTTATATTGTTATCTCCGCTGTAGTGAACTCGAATTCCATACTTAGTTTGCTGCCATTGTATTCTCAATGCATTAAAGATTCAATGTATAACATAAATAATTGGAGATTTTTAAAAATAATTTTTAGAAACATTTACTGTGAACCGGCCTTTTCCCAGATGCTTTGAAAAAGGACAACCAAATTTACTATTGTGTCAACAAGGTATATATACTAGCTGACCATGGGGGATTTATAAAAGAACTATATGCGGTATATTGCATATATTTGCCCTCACAAAAGTCAAATTTTGAAAACTTCCTGAAATGTGATGAATTCAATAAATTATATGAGAAATATAAATTAACAGAAATTATTATAGTGTCAAAGCAGTGTATTCACAATTTTTGTTTCTATGACGTCACAAACAAATCCGATTTTATATCCTTTTTCAGAAAGAGGACAAAATGGACAAAATTTTCAACAATTTTAGCTTTAAAATTTATAGAGTGCAAGTTTGTTCAGGAACAATATTGACAGATTTCATTGATATTATCATTCTACACATAATATCAAAATATTGTTCCTAAACACACATGCGATCGGTGACTTTTACTCAAAATATCGACAAAATATGTACATTTTTCTATAAAATTCATAAAAAAAACCCCGAAATTTACGTCATGTGTGTGACGTCATTACGTACATATGGCGCCATTACTTATGAAAATATTCAGTGCTTTGAAGTCAGCATATACTCACCTGTTTAAGAACTTAATTAAATATATCTCCATCAAAGTTTGATTTGGGACACTGGGGGGGATATCGGTTATTACCGAATAAAGTTCTTTGCATAAATAAAATGTCTAAATTGAATTGATTAAATTTTTTACATAGACTATGCAGACCTTTCTAGTTTTCAAGTGTAGAAATGAAAATAATTTAAAAGTATTGAATATTTTCTAATAACCAGATGAGATTTTGAACACTGTGCTGACAATCTACAGCCATGATCCAGATCAACCTCTTCCTCAGTCAGATGAGATCCTCATGTGTACTCCACACACCACTCTTGACGAGGTCTGTTTAAACTAACCTGAATCAAAGGTCATGTTAATTTTTAATTTTTTTGACCGATTTTTCAATGCTAAATTTTAATCTGTATTCTTGAATGAACTGAATAAAGTTCTCATTTATGACTTTGGAACGGTAGGTGGTATGAATATTGTATCACAACGAAATAGACTACTGACAGCAATTTCCAAACATGTACCTAGTAGGTAAATTAATTTGGAATTGTTTAAAACATATATAGCCCCTATGATTCGAAAAGGCTATGAAAAAAGGACATATTGTAAACTGGATGAAACAATCAAGACCGCAGGCAAAAATTATTCACAGATGCAAGAATTGCCACACTTTCGAATTTTAAATATCCACATCTGATTTAAGGTTTCACCAATGGTCAACATGTCCAAAAATCCTACGCGTAAATGAATTTGGACATGTTGACCTTTGGTGAAACCTTAAAACACTTTTTGAATATACAATGGATGATCTAAAAGTTCGCAAACTAATTGAATAACTTCCTTAAAAGAAATGATATAGGGTTTCAGTGTTGATTTTTTAAAAAGAAGTCCTTCCTAATTTAACACATCTGCATCGGTTCTGCCCATGCACAAATTACGTGATCTATGCGGTCACGTGACATGACCCAGGAACCGTAGCGCTCTATAACAGTAGTTAAAAGATTTTACCGACTGTAAGTTATTTTTCATAACAAAAAAGCAGTTCATTGTCGGAACTGGCCTCATCTCGGCTATAGTAAAGGTTGAAATGGATATCCTTTTCCAGAATGAGCATTATGACCATTATAACTTGAGTCCTCTGTCTTGGGAGCGTTGTTTATTAAATGAAGATAAAGTAAAGGTGTCTCCTATTCCTCATATCTGATAGTAGTATGTTTAAAATGTTATGTAAACGACATTTCTAGGATTTAATAATTTAATCATTGTTAAGATATTCAACCATTTCTCTCACTGTAATTTGGCGATCTTTCATGATAAATTGCTTAACAAAAGACATATCTCTTCCTCATTTTGCTTTAGTGGGCAGCTTAACAAACATCATTTTTTGCATCTCCCTCCCTTCACCTAAACAATCAATCCAATAAATGACTAAACTTGTGGCAAGTCATTTGTCTTTATAAACCGTGTACAAATTATAATATTTTTAAATGTGACACTGTACAATCATTACAAGATGCTCAGAATTTTCTCACTCAGATGACAAACTTATGAACCAAACAACTGTGAGGATTCTGTGGGATTTTCCCCAAAGTTGGCGGCATAACTTTTGAAAAAAGTGTTTTTAGCTATTAATCAAAATTATAGAAATTCTTAACACATGCTACAATGTCAGTCTGCCTGCCTTAAAAACGAAAGAGACTTGACGACAGTCCCCGTTTCTCTCTTTTAAATTTTTAACATGTACTTTTACGACCTAAATTAAGTTTTACCGACCTAAATTAATACTAAAGAATTGGAAAAGGCATATGCAACAAAAGCATCATTACTTTTTTTTTTGATTAAAGGGGAAATAATAAACTTAAATGTTTGACAAAAACGATAATCACTTATTCTAAGTACTGAGATCTAGGTAAGGTTATAATGTAACTTCTTTCGATGACAAGCTAACACAGCGTGAATTATCTTGGAATATTTTCTGTAAGGTGGAGATATTTTGGAGGAGAGCTGTATTGGACACAACAGACAGAATCTATTGTTTGGTCTATGGGGACCTGCTGGACTATGAAGTCAGTGATAAAGGGGAGAGAAGGTTGAAACATCACATGCAGAAAGCTGCAAGACTCGGTAATTATTCAAAAACTGAAGCTTTGCTTTATAAATGTTGCTTAGGGTTATAATGCTTTTTATATCTATACTTACTTTATCTTCATATCTTTTAAGAAATCCCCTACAAGCTGGTGGTGGTGTGTAGTACAGAGAGGGAGTACCACTCCAGAATTGTGGCCGCCCTGGACAAGTACAGACGCCCCCCTCTCCCTCTGATGACACATGACAACATGACCAAATACATCAAGGACAAGCTGACCTTTGACATCAAACGACCTAGTGCGACCCCTGCTGCTGAAGCTGATTTTGATCTGTGTGTAAAATTGAATGAATTAACTATAGCATAAAACTATTCAAAACATAAATCTGTTGAATTAACATAAAATTATAATCAATATTGTAAGTTTATAAGCTCAGAAAATATTCAAATGAATGTAGATTTTTCGGATGCATGCCCAGGTTTTATATATTGTTTTTACACGAATTCTTTTTTAAAAATATTTTTTGAGTAGATCCTATGAAGAATTCTTTTATATATTATACAGTATGCAAAATCATATGTAAATTTTGTACTTATACATGTATACTTGTGTATAATTGAAAACCATTCCAATCTACTTTTCAGTTGCACAGTAAGAGTGGTGAAATCATGGAGAGCAGGAGTTGGCAAGAGTTTACACAAGAAAAGATCGGCAGAAAAACTCAAAGTTCTAAATAATAGTGTAATAAGAAGCAAGAAAGCTGTGGTGTCTATTCCGTTACACGACAAGGAAATCTCCATTGATGGCATCATGGACGTTCTTTTACAGAATACGTTGCCTCCCGAGGAAATAGAACCAAGACTGTTCCACATTGATCTCTCTTACGAGGTGAAAATCATTTATTGTTATTATCACATTTTAAAAATTTTAATCCACTAGTGGTAATCATGAAGATTCATACTATTAAAGATGTCGTTTATGTTCTCATTTAGGTAAAATATCCTTTCGGTCTAAATTTCACAATTTTTTTTTAATTCCAAATATTTGAAATGTGAAGCGATGCTTACTTTACAGAAATGAACAATATGTCAAATCATGATGTGAAAAAAATTGAAATGGTAAATAGAAACATTTTAATGTTTTTTTTATCTCACAATAAAATTAAAAATATGAGGTTTATATGAAAGTAATATTAACTCTCATACCTATCTAATTCTCATTAGAAAACAATCGGAAGCGTTGCTTTTTAAATCAGAATATCAATGTAACAATTAAATGACTAATACGTTAAGAGATAGAGATATCTCAATTTTTACTGCTTAAAAGAACAATTATATATGATTTATGAAAATATTGGCAACAGAAACTAGAAATTAACAACATATGTAAGATAGAACAGATTGCCTTTAAAATGATTCCTTTCAAATGAAATCTGTAAAATCGGACATTCATTGAATTTCATGAGAAAATATTCAGAAATTTATCTCTCTTATCAGAGGGATATTACACCTTATACTGAAATTCACATAAAAAAATAACAACAGAATCCTTCAAAAATATGTGTTAATTATGATTTTTGCATTTGAACACAGTCTCTTATCTGTATATAAACCTTGATAGGTCCAGGAGAGAGTGTACTACCTGTTGTTCCAGTTACTGACAAACTGCATTTGCAATTAAATAATTTATCCGTTTTTTGTCCAATCTTTAACTATAGTTAATATAAATTCTGTGTTATGATTGATTGATCAGGTCCAGGAGGGGGTGGACTACCTGTTGTTCCACTTACTGATATATTAACTATAGTCTATATAAATTCAGTGTTATGATTGATTGATCAGGTTCAGGAGGGGGTGGACTACATGCTGTTCTAGTTACTGATATATTACCTATAGTCTTTATTAATTATGTGCTATGATTGATTGATCAGGTCCAGGAGGGGATGGACTACCTGTTGTTCCAGTAACGGATATATTAACTTGGTCTATATATAAAATCTGTGTTGTGATTGGCTGATCAGGTCCAGGAGGGTGTGGAAAACCTGCTTAATTCTGTGTTTTGATTGGTTGATAGTCCAGGAGGGGGTGGACTACCTGTTGTTCCAGCTACTGATATATATTAACTGTAGTCTATATAAATTCTGTGTTCTGATTGGTTGATCAGGTCCAGGAGGGGGTGGACTACCTGTTGTTCCACTTACTGATATATTAACTATAGTCTATATAAATTCTGTGTTATAATTGGTTGATCAGGTCCAGGAGGGGCTAGACTACCTGCTGTTCCAGCTACTGATATATGTGACTCGCCATGAGATTTTTGGCCCAAATGCGGCAAAACGTAATAATGAAAAAAACGTCACAATCAACGTTTACAAAAAAGCGTGAATTTCGCGCACTTGTTAAAATAATTGCAGGATGAATTTAAATTGTGTAATGTTTAAAGACTTTTTATATAAACAAAAATAATAAGAAAATCGATCTTATTTTGATTTAAAATATTATTGAAAGTTTTCGAGGGAAAAAATCGAGATTATTTAGAGTTATTCCCCGTAAGACTAACTCTTCTTTAGTTTCCGAGTTGTTGGTGTAAACAATCATGGCGTCTCGAGAAATGAGGGAGATTTAAACTGAATAGAATCGCCGGAATGGAAAGCTGCAGCCAACTAAGCCAGTCAAGTGCAGTTTCTAATGCAAGTACAATCCCCCCGGAAATAGTAGAAAACGAAGATGAAGAATTTGTAAACGAAATAAATCGAGTGAATGACCTATATTTTGGAAACTTGTCAAACACATCGGATGTCGACCCAGAATATCACTCTGATAACGCAGAGAGCTCTGACGAAAATGAAAGCGATGGAGAAATAGAAGATCGAGAAAATTTAGTACCAATAGAGCAGAGTGAGGTAGATAAGAATGAAATTGACCAATTTCAAAAGTTTAATTCTAAAACATGCGGTTGTTCTCGACTCTACGGAAAACCATGTAGTGAGGTCGTCGATTTAGAATCTTTGCTTGAATACAGAAACACGTGCCTGGAAATGAACAAGGAGGAACTAGATATGATGATCAAAGTGCAATTATTTCACCATCGGCGAAATGACAAAGTTACTAGTGCAAAGAAACATAGATCAAAAGAAAGGGAGAGAATTAGACAAGAATATTTTTTTAATGGACATCAAGTGTGTAGAGAAACATTTGCGTTTTGCCATGGAGTTTATAGGAAGACGGTGGACGCGCTTGCTCGTTCCCTTGATAAGGATGGACTCGCTCCTAGAATTCATGGAAACATTGGTAAACATCCAAAGCATGCCCTCACTGTAAATGATGTTCAATCTGTAAAAGATTTTCTAACATCTTATGGAAACAACTTTGGTTTACCATTACCAGGAAGACTGCCAAACTACAGAGATTGTAGAGCTATAGTGTTGCCCTCTGATAAGACCAAGGCTGATATACATCAGGACTATTTGTTAGCTGCAGAGAGTCTACATTTGAGAAAGATATGTTTGTCAGAATTTAAAAGAGTTTGGCTGAATACATGTCCACATGTTCTAATTAGCAAGCCTTCAACAGACCTATGTTATAAATGCCAATCCTATGCGAATATCCTGGTTCATGGTGGCAATATGACAGAAGAGGAAAAGGAGCAACATCTTGAGAAATACACAGCTCATGTTGAAAAATCAAAGATGCAGAGGGATTATTACAGAAGGCAATGTGAAGTTTCTAAAACTAGCTTTTCTGCTCTTCCAAATGAGAGAAAAACCAGAGGTAACAATTTATTATATGATTCAAGTAATATTGTTTGAAATTAGTTAATCATTTATGCTGTAATGGTTAGGGCCGTGGATATCGGCCTGGATAGCTCAGTTGGTAGAGCACCTGACTAGAGATACAGGGGTCCCGGGTTCGATTCCCGGTCCAGCCATACATTTTCTCCTTTCCTGTTACAGATTTGGTGCCGTTGACCACCCCTGGAATTGCAGGTGAAAGTCCTGCCAGGGGCAATAAGAACTTGGGTTGTGTCTTCGAGGGCGAAGACCATTTAAGGAGGGAGGAATGTAATGGTTAGGGCCGTGGATATCGGCCTGGATAGCTCAGTAGGTAGAGCACCTGACTAGAGATACAGGCACCCGGGTTCGATTAGCCATGCATTTTCTCCTTTCCTGTTACAGATTTGCCGCGACAACCCAGGTTCGAATCCTGGTCACGGCACCAAATCTGTAACAGGAAAGGAGAAAATGCATGGCTGGACCGGGAATTATCTCTAGTCAGGTGCTCTACCTACTGAGCTATCCAGGCCGATATCCACGGCCCTAACCATTACAATGCATTAGTTCTGTTAAATTAGTGATTTTTCTTAATCAATTGGCTATTGATATTTCCCCCAGGTCAGCCCATCTGTTCTTTGGAGGGAACTCAACATTACAGTTTTGATTATGCCCAGCAAATACATTATCCACATTATGCGCAACAGGTTGGTCCTTTGTTCTTCAAAACCCCACGGAAATGCCAGTGTTTTGGAATCTGTTCAGAGGGTTCAGGTAATTTTTAGAACGTCAAACACAAGACTACAATAGTCTAATTGATTTTTTAGCGTTACTCTTTTAGTTCAATGATAGAAAATAAAATTTATAGATTCATGTACAAGTTTACTACTACTAGTCTAACAAATTTAATTTATAAAACAGACTAGGCAGTGCATTTAATTGGCTAATACATGCAACCTGTAAATTTAGAATTACATTTTTAGAAATGCACCCTTTCATAAAAAAAAATTGAAGTAAAAGAATAATTAACTTTTTCAGTGCAAACATTTTTTGTGAACTTTTATCCAGGATCACAGATATTTTACTTGATTGATGAGTCTCAGCATTCTGGAAAGGGGGCAAACTCTGTTGCCAGTATGATTCACCACCATTTTCAACATAAAGGTTATGGAGAAATGAATTTACAACTCCATATGGACAACTGCACTGGTCAAAATAAAAACAACACTGTTATTGGGTATGTATTTCCAATCCAACTGTCTATATTTTAACTACCATTTGTGTGGGTGGTATTTTTGCAAAATTAATACAATAGGTGTCTTCATGTCAAATACATCCATGTTTACATGTGGTACATGTAATGAAATACACTGGCAAAATTATTTTCAATTCATTTGCTCTCTTTGATTAGTTTAGTTTCATAATGAAGTTCTTTTAGAAGTGCATTTAGAGATCTTGTCTCTTTTGAATTTTATTTTAAAAGAATGTCTTGTAGATATGGGATGTGGCGAGTTATGACCGGCAGACATATGACCATTGAGTTTTCTCTGATGGAGGCAGGCCACACAAAGTTTCATCCCGACTGGCATTTTGGGCTCTGGAAGGTGAAATGGCGAGGAACAACTGCAGAGAATCTTGAGGAAGTGGCCAAATCTGTTGCTCATTCATCTAGGAATAACCATAATATTCCCCAGCTTGTAGAGGATCCCCAGTATCCAGTCATTTTCTATGACTGGAGCACGTTTCTCAAGCAGTACTTCAAGCCAATACCTCAACTCAAGCAGTATCATCATTTTCGGTATGCATTATATTGCCTGTGTTTTTTAGCAATTAATTTATTGGAGGTTGAGTTATCACAGAACAACAAATGCACAGAGAGGCATAGATAAGATCTTCAAGTATACTGTAGACATACTTTTTTCCACGCTGTCATAATTCTGCGGAATCTTGATTTTTGTTTAATCTGCAGGTAGAAAATCATGTGGATTTCTTAACTGTCCCTATATATACCTTACATGTTTATTAAGTATGCTTTGACAAATTTCCGTGAAAAATTTGTGACCTGGTACATACCGTAAATTAATACCATACGAAAAAAGTACTTCTATGGTATTATATTTTTTTTCATTTTATTTAATTTGGTCTGAATTTCATGACTTTAGTAAAACCAGCGATTTTCAGACCAAAACATCAAAATTAATTTAGTATTTTTCTTTATACATGATTATCTTATTAAATATATATATTTGGTGTTTGTTTGTCATATATTCTTTTATTTTCTTATGCTTGTATAATTTATCCCTCAATTAAAAATCTTTATGTTGTCAAATTAAAAAAATTACATGAACATGTATACAAAAAAAAAAATCCCCAAAAGCAAACACCAAATACATCAGATTTAAGCCCATGTTGACAAATGCAAATTTTAAGTATAAGGTTATGAAGAATTCTGTTAGCATTGAATTTTGAAAATTTTTGTATACATGTATGCTGCTAAAAACAGAACTGAAAAGAAATTCTTAACTAATTCTAACTGCCATGACTGTGCTCCTTCAATATCTTTTGCATTAAGGTGTAGATAAATATATTTAAAAAACAATATATGTTGGAAGATCTAACATCTTTGACTTTTGCAGCATGACACATGAACATCCTGGAGTAGTCCATCTACGAAAGTATGCTGGAGATGAAGAAATTACTGTCAACATCCTGAAACACAAAGATTTCAGGTTTCCAAACATGGATGCCTCTCTTCCAACTGTTATTAAAGCATGTGGCCTTGACGCACAGCGACAGTGGTATTTATACGACGAGGTGGCCCCATACTGTGCCAGTCATGAGGCATGTCCCCGCCCAAGTGTACCAAAACCATCAGCCATAAAAGTTGAACAGAAAGTGAAATTAGGAAAGAGAAAATGTGCAAATTAACATTGTAACAAATCAATGTAATTTACATGCTGTCATGGATGTCAAGAGTTTGATTTTATCTAGTTCTTAAAACTGTTATATTCTGTTGTATTAATTTGATCAAACAATATGTGTTTCAGAATGAAATGACATATATTTCAAATTGTGTTACTTCATTGCTTTAATGTAACTTTAATGTCGCAGAAATCACCAATATCAGATAAAGCAAGATGTGTTCATGAAACACTATGTACCCAGTGGTCCCTAATTTTGAAAAAACTATTTTTAGTATATAGGTCACAGTCAAGGTCACAAGGTCATTAACCTTGGTGTCATTTGAGAAAACTTAATTTTGTGGAATATGCATAGAAAGTATGAAGTTTCTATCTCGTATTGTTAAAGATGTATTGCAAATGTTCAAAAAGACTATTTTTAGCAAATACAAGTAGGTCACAGTCAAGGTCACAAGGTCATTGACCTTGGTGTCATTTGAAAGAGCTTGGTTACTGGAATATGCATATCAAATATGAGGTTTCTATCTCTCATGGTTCAAAAGTTATGGCAAAGGTTAATATTTAAAGATAGACAGGACAAAATCAGTATGCGCCCCTGATTTACCGATCCGGGCGCATAAAAACCAATTAGTAAAGTCCAATTTTCTTGACAATGAATAGGGATATCAAAGAAAAAAAAACAGATAGTTGTTACTGGGGGTCATCTCTACTAGATAGTATAAAAATCTCATTTTCTCTCAGGTACCTCATTTGGGCCAAAATTCTCATGGCTTGTCACATATATTAACTGTAGTCTATATAAATTCAGTGTTCTGATTGGTTGATCAGGTCCAGGAAGGGGTGGACTACCTGTTGTTCCACTTACTGATATATTAACTATAGTCTATATAAATTCTGTGTTCTAATTGGTTGATCAGGTCCAGGAGGGGGTGGACTACCTGCTGTTCCAGCTACTGATCCTGGGCTGTCTGACCAACAGTACTGGACACGTGTGGAGGAAGCTGCCCTACGACCTCTACATTGTGGAGACCATGCTTGTACTGGCCAGGGACTTCCAGGAACAGGTATGGTTTTACAAACGTATATAATACGAGTTGTGATAAAAAAATTCGCAAACTAATTGAATAAGTTCGAAAAATGAAATAATATAAAGTTTCAGTGATTAAATTTTTTAAAGTAGTTCTCTCCAATTTTAATGCGCATCTGCAGCTGTTCTGCCCGTGCGCGGATCACGTGATTCATGTATAGGCGGTCATGTGACATGCTCCTAAACGTTCTGTCACAGAAGCTTAAAGATTTTTCCTTTTTTTACATTTTTTAGCAAGCAAGTTATTACTTTAAAAAAAAAACAGTCCATTTGTCAGAAATTGCAAAAATCTCGGCAATAGTATGGGTTGATACTGATATCCTTTTCCAGAATGAACATGGCAAACATCATATCCTAAGTCCTCTGTCTTTGGACCATCGTTATTTCAATGTGGCTAAAGTGTTGGCGTCTTCTTTTAATCAAATCTTATATGTTTAAAGTCTAAATAAGCGATTTTTAAGATTTTTATTAATTATATTATAATTGTAAAAATATTCAACTATTTTTCTCACTGCAATTTGGCGATCTTTCATATCAAATTGCTTAACAAAAGGCACATCGCTTCCCCAGCTTGGTTTCACAGGGCGACAGATAAACATCATTTTTAACATCTACCTTCCTTCACTTCAATACTGTGAAATCACAAATTCTTGGGGGTTTAATTTTCGTTGTTTTCGAGGTATGACAAGACCCACGAATTCATGTCCACCACGAAATATAAAATGTTACATACATAAGTACTCATTAATCCTTGATCCACGAAATCAAATCCCCGCGAACCAAGAGATTTTCCTCAAACCACGAAAATTTGACCCCACGAAAATATCTGATTTTACAGTAATTAATCCAATTAATGTCTAAACTTCTCACACGTATTTTGTCTTCATAAACCGTGTACAAATTATTATAAGCTTCTGCAAAAGAATTTTCAAGATATACGTTTAACAATACAGCCTCTCGTTTCTAGAATGCGACAGGTCAACCAGTTTTTGACATAAGTGACCCAAATATCGATGTCATTTTATAATTGTAACGTAACATACATAACGTTTCATTACATATGCTATTTATAGAACATCTGTATGACGATTCAAAGGATTTGATTTTAATCAGATTATTTGAATGTTGACTTTATGTCGAAATGGTTTTTGAATATAAATAATAGATATATTTATGAATTTGAAAGAGAAAGATAGCTACATTATGGATAATAAAAAAAAGTTTTTATATTTTAAAAGACAGGGTATTTTAAATGCAAGCATAGATGCCTCGATATTTTGCCTGCTGTTACCTGTCGTTCTCCTCGAGAAAGTCTGAAAAAATACCAAGGATATGCTTCAGGTACAAAAAATGTATATTGAGATATACTGTTATACTGTCTTTTTTCGAATTTATAGGACCTGGGCCAGTTTCACACAATCACACACACACACACACAAACAACTTACCAAAGACTACAAATTTAAATTCGTGATTAATTATGAATTTCTTTGAAATTGCTAGCATAGAAATATCTTAATGAATTCCTTCGAAAGAAATCAAAACTATTTCAAATAAATGCTTAATTGAAGGAAAAAAGCTAATTTAAATTTTTGTATTTTTCTTGAGTTCTTTGGTAAACAGACCCCTGCATTTGAAATAAGCTGATCTTTATCTCAGAAACGTGTCCGATTGAGTTGATTTTTTTTACTCAGAGATTATTCAAAAAAAGCAGTTTTTATTAGGCAAAGTGGTCGGTTGCCATGGCAATATGTTGATGTTTACTTCATCACTTAGTACATTTTATATAAAAGTTGGCTTGTATAAAAAAAATGAAAAGTGATGGAATAATTACAAACTAATGATACGATTGTCATAAGCGATATTACAAAAAAATATCCGATAAAAAATAACGAACTTTTGTTAATTGCTAGGCAGTTTTACTTTTAAGGATTAATTCTTTCTGAGCTAATTATTTATCTGAGTTTCTGAAAGCGTTCTTTCAAAATGCAATTCCTGTAATATTTTGTTTGTCCAAAAAATGCACGTGTATCTTCTTACAAATATTTTTAAAAATTGATTTTGATTTCCATGACGATCAACTTGAAGAATTCATATAACTTATTAATGACAAATGAAACTTTGAAAATTAATCCTACATTTTATGAAAGTCAAAAACTTGGGATGACGTGTGCTTTTCTGATGGAATATTTGAAGAAAAATGTTCACTTTTTAGTTTTACTGTTCAGTTCTACACTTTTGTACATGTACGTGATAATAATCTTAAAGTCATGTACTATGTTACACTTGGTATTTTATTACAGGTATCAGTTAGAATACTTCAAGAATATCTGTTAATTGCTTTTAATTATAACATACCGCGGTATTCCATTCATAGGGATTGACCAGAATGACTTACTATTTGACGAGAAGGAGTTCAAGAGCGACGTTTTCCAGAGACCATTCCAGTACCTGTACAGACTGGACATGGGTCGAGGCCTGGGGGACGTAGATATGAGGAGGACAGAGGGAAACCCCCAAACCTGTCTACAGACACTGCTCAAGTAATGCATTGACAATGATTTATTAATATATAGGTAGTTATTGTTTTAATTATTATCCTTTACTTTTATGCACATATATACAATATTGACTGAACATTGGAAGATATCCCCGCCTGAGGATCGTTTTATTTCCCGATCTTCAGTCAATATTTTTATTATATACCTTAAGTGTCCTATACATTTATTTCAATGTACTTAGTATATGAATGAAATCTTTATGACGTTTCGATCATTCAAATGTTTTTGAAATTAATATCTAGATCTGCTACATGTGTATTTGTATCTCCCTGGCTGACAAGTTCATTACCTGTGCTTTGCATAATTTCGAGAAACTTATGAGTAATTCTTTCTTGAACTCTTCAAACAGATACTGTGGTATCAGAGACCCTTCCTGGGCTGAGCTTCGAAATTTTGTCTGGTTCCTGAACACACAGCTGGTGGACTTTGAAACTTCAGATTTTGTCTGCCCAGCAGTTGCTGAGGATCTACCCGGATTTTCACAATTTGTCGTACGATTCCTCATTCAGATGTCTAGGGTATGGACTGTTCTCTCATTCTCTTATAATATTATGCATATTCAGGTAGTGCATATAGAAGCATGTTCAAATGTTGGCCTCTGCGAGTAGGATGCAGTTCCCAAAGAGAATCTAAGTTTAATATGTTATGTGTAATATCTTCTCTGATTAGTTATATTGAAATGCATGTATCCCTAAATGAGCAGATTGAAACTATAAAATATATTTGCAATTTATAGATCCTTGAGGTAAGAATAGAGAATAATGCTTTACATCGGTGTTTTATTTATTTAAATATGATTTACACATATTTCATTGGGATATTAAAGAAAAATAAATCTTATGTTGAACATCATGTCCAAGGCGACTCAAATGGGGATTGTTTACTACATGCCTCATACTTTAATTTGAAACAAATGTATTAAGCAAATTTTCTCTATATACAAATATTTAAAAGTAATACTCTTTGAGACTGTCACTATCCAAATTAAAAAAACTATAGCATTCTTGATATTTTAGGACTTTGCTACGCGGTCGCTGAACATGAGTGAGGAGTCCCCCATACAGATGTTACAGAGGATGGAGTCTGAGGAAGAGGAGGAGAATGAGGAGGTCATGCTCCGTCAGTTTCAGCTCAGGAGGACCTGGGAAAGCAGGTAACATTTCATTTCTGTCATGTCTTTTCAACCATTTTAATAGTATCTTATCAAATTTTTCTTTAAGTTAGGTTCTAGGTACTATTTGCATATCCCTTGTCAGCATTTGGAAAAAATTATCAAGGCCTGCAATATATTTATAACTTTAACTTCAAATAAGATCTTATTTTTCATACAATAGTTCTTATCATATGAAAAGCATCAAAAAATATTTTTTTTTCTTTCTGGTTGTTTTCATTCATTCAAACAATATAAAATGAGAGCATTGTGCCAAATATCTGCATGATGGCAGGGGATGCTCACTCCTCCATGGCACCTGATACTACCTCTGATGTCTTGGAGGTCCATGTTTGCTCTGCTCCTATTTTGTATGGTTTTATGGTATTTTGATCTTGAATACTGTTCGTTATCTCCATATGTTTAAAAAAATAACAAACATTAGTAACACCTAACCGGGAACGGTTACCTTTCATGATTTTAAACTCGAACTTCTTGTTCGTACTATCAACTATCCGGTGTAATCACTTTCTTTAGTATGCATAATTGAAAGAAATATGATGCTTCATGTTTCTAAAAGAAATTCCTACAAAAGAAACTCGCTGTAAACGATGAATTCTTTCACTGAGCAATTAAATGCCAGACCTTTCCAAAAATGAGTGCAACCAAGCTCGGCATGTTAAGAGCAGATTTATAAAATAATGAAAATATGTCAGTGCAGCTAGGTAATGGATGCTCATAGGAAATACACCTTAAAATATACAGAGAAAATAAATTTAATATTGTAATTTGTTTTTATTGTATGCGTTTTGATCAATGGGAAATCTACTGCTTGAATGTGTATAATAGTACATGTATGAGGTCTTTGTCAAATTCGGCCATAGCAATTAAACGTACATCAGCTGTTGTTAATTATTACGTGACTAATTTAAAACTAGAAAAATTCATGAAAGGCTACAAACATAATGAGTTAAATAATATACAGATAATTATTTCCACTATAAAAATGATTGTGTTTATTTTTAAGGTTTTGTCCAGGATCAGCATGTCCAAAAAAATTTTTTCACAATATTATAGCTCCGAAACTATTTGAGATATAAAGTTAACTTTTACAGTTTATTAGTACAACAATGATCAATAGATAGAAAGTATCACTTGAAAACAAACATTTTCAAAAGATATTTTTAAAGAAAAATTGAATTAAAAAATGTGCATATTTAAAGAAAAATAACCCAGCTTTATTCTATCCTCGTTGTGAAAACCACCATTGCAGAAATAATATATGTTTGTCAATGAAGGGCATGTTTTAAGTGAATAGTTTCTGAGAGGCTTTATATTGAAAGCATGACATATATAAATCAGCCATTTGCAATGTACGTATTTTCAGTTTCAAATCTTAACAGTTGGACAAAATAATCATAGAAAACAACTTTTCAGAGGCCATCCAAGTTTAACCTGCCCTTCTTTGATAAACATTTATTGTCTCTGCAATGATTGCTTTCACTTAAAGCACAGAATTGATAAGGTGTATTTTTAAAAAAATACATTTATTTTTAAAAAGAATATTACTCGATAAATATTTTTTTCTCAGTATTTGTTATCAAATGATGCTTTCTATCTGCTAATCAATGAAGAATTTATAAACTGTAAAAGTTTTAACTTATATAGTTTAGGAGCTAATAATGATAAATAAATGTTTGGACATTTTGATCTTGGACGAAACCTTAAGACATATTCCTTATCCAAAAAATGCTGGAAGCAATTTCCCCGTGCCTAGGAATTAAGAAAAAAATAGCCTTTTTGAATAAACGTCGGGCATTTACATTATGTGCATCAAAATAACGTTGAAATATGGAAAAAAGCAAAAATGCTCAACAAGCTTAATCTCCCAGCACATTTCAAACTAGTATGGACAACAGTAAACATGTGTGTAAAAAGTCATCTATAGTTAAGGTTCATTGATACTCTGATAAGAGAGACAACTCTTAATGACATAAATGTCTATTATTCCTTTGTATATTTGCCAAGTCGAAGTGTCTTTTTTGTCCAATTTTGCCCCGCAAGATATGCTATAATTGTTTGTAATTTACTTATAAAATACATTTTTTTTTGGAAAATCACTACGGTTC